AAACCTACTTTGATGGTGTTGATGGAAGGATTTAGGGTTTTCCTCTGAAGCAGTAAATCCCCAGTTTACTTATGCGATGGGTGCAAAATCTTAGTCAAAAAGTTTGGTTAAAATCGAAACTAGATTAACTCTTTGTTTTTTCAATAAATTCATTTATTATTATTAATCTAAATTTTCAATTTCTCTCGTTCGATAAATTCTTATAAAACTCTTAGGGTGCGTTTGGTTCACGGAATGTAAGATTACCAGTGGGAATGTAAGATTACCAGAGAATAGGATTACTGGGAATGTTGTATTTTGTGTTTGGTTAGTTTAACAGGAATCTACGATTACCGTATTTGGTTAAAGGAATAAATATTTTGTGTTTGGTTGGTTTAGCATGAATATAAGATTGCCGTGTTTGATTAAATGAATAAAAGATTATTGGAATGCATATTTGGCCAAATTGTCCTTATTATATATTTGTTTTTTAACAAGTTGGAAAATATTTATATATTTTATTTAAAAAAATTAAATTCATAAAATTTATATATATATATTTTACAAAATTTAAAATATAAAAAGGTTTAATGAAAGGGTAAAATTTTATTTTAACCCCTGGATTTCATATAAAATTTTAATTATAGACTTTTTTTGTAAATCTAAAATAGTTTAAGGATAAATTTGTAGTTTAATCTTCGTAGAATTTTTATTATCCAATGACAGAAAATGATATTTTTGAAAGAAAAAAAAATTAAGGGCATTTTAGTATAAAAGGTCGGTAATCCAACAATACCTAAGGAAATGGAGGTAATGATATTCTTGGTAATATACCTCAAAAAATTTACTATTGATAATAAAACATTACCGAGAATGAGATTCCCGGCCAACCAAACATGAGAATCACACATTCCCATGGGAATCACACATTCCCATGACAGAAGAATGATATTTTTGAAAGAAAAAAAAATTAAGGGCATTTTAGTATAAAAGGCCGGTAATCCAACAATACCTAAGGAAATGGAGGTAATGATATTCTTGGTAATATACCTCAAAAAATTTACTATTGATAATAAAACATTATCGAGAATGAGATTCCCGGCCAACCAAACATGGGAATCACACATTCCCATGAGAATCTCACATTCCCATAGAAATCACACATTCCTTAATCCAAACACCCCTTAGTTTTATGGTGAGGTGTAAACGGATATGTCCCTTTTTTTTATTATAAAATCACGTCAGAATTTAACTACTTTATAATATATATGTATATATATATTTGGCACGATGATATATCTAATATCGGAGTGGGGGAAAGGAGGTGATATAACATAGGAGAAGGAATATGGAAAGAAATGAACAAAGGGCAAAGGGGGGAAAGAAGGGTTTGTCCTTTATGATGGCCCTTACAAGGGTATGCCGGCAAGGATTCTTCACGGTAGGATTAGGATTTAGGATCCTACTGTCCCACTTCCCTTCGCCTTGCCTTCCTTGAAGATGAAAAGTTATGTCATTTTCTTTTGACATCTGGGGGTCTCCTCACTTTCATTGTCACTCCCACCGTAGGGCATTGGGTCCTACAAACCGCCAAGACTCTTTATTTTAACATATAATTGTGACTCACTGATTTTTTTCACCCTACGATACTCCATTATTAGTATTTCTACGAGTATAAATTACTCCTAAAGTCTTTTTTGGATTATAAGATTTAGAATTGTTATTTATTAATAATATATACAATGGGGAGCCATAATTTGGTGAAGTTGGCTACGTGTCCATCCTAAAATCTGAATTTTCTTTTATTAGTTACTTATTTTACTGATGGTGTCCACTCTGAAATTTGAGTTTTTTTCTAGATTAATTACTTATTTTACGAACAATGCCCCCCTAAAATTTTATTTGTACCCATTCCATTTAAAAATTTTATGTTGTTAACTTATGTATATCCATCCTAACAAACACTTATGGATCTGTCACTGAATATTCACATTTTATAAATATAATCATTGAAATTTGAAATTTTTAAGTAAAATAATAATATTATTTATCACTAAAATCACTTATTAGCTCAAATTATTTATATAAATATAAAGAGTATATTTGAATCATAATTAATATATTTTTATTTTAAGTTTATAATTTAATATATTATTTTTATTAAAAATAATGTGTTACTCATAATTCTATTTTTCATATATCAATTTAGGCCATAGATTGAACAATAATTAACTTTTTTTGTTAGTCTTGGGTTGTCAATAAAATTTGGGTCTCTTTTGAGAGTGTAATATTTCTGATATGATAATCAAATTTTAAATAAAAGGACAAATAATTAGAGTGAAGTGTAATCCTTGGAAGAAGATTTCAAGACCCCATTATATTTGACCTTTTGGTGCTTTATAGTCCAAAACTTTGATGTAAGAAAGAACCTTGTTTGGCATGATAATTTAATATTATTAAAGGTTTATAGTAACTTTAAGTACAATCATATCATTGTTTAATATTAAAATATTTTATTAATAGAATAAAATTATTATATTAAAATATGCAAGTTGGAATGTATGTTGCATGGGGAGTAAATTTCATATCAATCCCCCAAAAAATTGTAAAATTATTTCCCTTAAAATATGAAAATAATAATAATAATATATTTAGAAAACTACAAGATGGTTGAGAAAGAGTGGATTCATGTCATTTTCCTAGATAAAGAATATTTTCTTTGGATTTTGTGTTTAAGCTTTTGAAGAGTAGGCTACATATTCACTATCATTCACATGTATATGGATAGATTCCTTCCTAAAGGACTATGGATTTTTTTTTTTTATGTTTTTTTGGTGAAGAAAATGTCTACTCATTCAGCCTTATCTATAAATTTGGAAAATTAACAATAAATGTTTACTTACGAGATGCATACAATTAATTACACCTTTTAGGTTACCATTACTGTCCTTGGGAAGTTTAGGGTTAACTCGATATTCAAAGTTTGTATGAATTAGTTCAATTGTTGAAAATGAATCGGGTTTGAACAAATAAGATTGTGTTCATGTTCATTTGCTTATTTTTGAAAATGTTACTATTTCATTCGTGTTTGTTTAAATTTTTAATATTGAATTCGTGTTCGATTCATTTAAGGTTCACGAACATGTTCGTTTACCTCTAGTTAATATGTTTGTTATATGTTCACTATCATGCTCGTTTAGAATTCGTCGACATGCTCGTTTATATGATTCTAGTCTCCTCCACAACCAACACCCTCTTTCTATTCTTTTATTTAAATCAAAGTAAAATGAGTCACTAGTCCTTAAGCTCATTAGGCTTCACAGTTGAACTCTAAAGTTCACTTTGTGTTCAATTTAATTCATACCTTCACCAATATTTAAAATGTGAAAAAATAAAAGGAGAGGGAGAATATTGTAAACAAGCTTATAAATGAGCTTTCGAACAAATTTATTCGTAAACATAAATGAACCGAAATCACATATGATTGTGTTATTCATTTATTAAATAAACATAAAAAATTTATTCATACTCGTTTATTTACGTGATCTATTTACAATTTTACAATTGAACTTATTCATCATAACAATAAACAATTAATCATAATGATCTTACATATAAAACCAACACTAAAAATCAGTGTATAAAATTTTGTAACCATTTTGTATGTTTTCTTGCAAACGGGTGGATGGGAAACAATAGTTCGGAAAACAATGAATTTTGTAATACCTTTACTAGGAAAAAAATAATTAACATTTAATTTTTAATAGATATTAAATAATTAATAATTAATTTTAATATAGAATAATAGAGGTTTTTAGTGTTAATAACTTTTTAATGGTAATAACTCTGAGTCTACGCAGCAATGAAATTTTTCTATTCAATTAATGCAAATTATTCTAGTGGCAATTTGGCCATTCTGTATCATTTAATAAACCTTTAAAATATAATAAGGGGTTGTTTGTTTGACTCTTAATGGAATCATTACGCGTTGAATACTGAACCGTTCAGCATTCATCGCGTTTGTTTTGCACCTCTGAATGATTCAGTGCTGATTGATTCAACAAAACAGTGTTGAATGATTTAGCACAGAAGTACATTCTGAATGATTCAGAGCCATTATCATACAACATGTCACATTCAGAGCTAATTCATACAGAGCCTCTGAATCATTCAATATTTAAATCATTCAGCGCTTAATCATTCTGAAGTAAACAAACAACCCCTAACTCTTTATTTAATAGAAGATCAATAATTAATTTTAATGAGGGGAAGCAATCTGTTCGTGCAGACTCAGAGGAGTAATTAATCATAATTAATTTTAATATTAATAACTTTTTTATACTTTAAATATATATTTAAGATCGAGTCGAATCAAATTTAAATTTAATTTAAATATATACATATATATATATATATGCTTAATATGTTATTTTACTTTTCATGTTTTAATATGATTTTGGTTGAAACACTATTTTTTTTTTATAGAAATGGGGTTAAATAAAATAAAGTTTTTAAATAAAATTTGAATTAAAAATATTTCTTTTGTCTTTGCATAATTTTCTTAGAGATTTGATTCGACTCGATTCGACAATCTTCTTTTAACAGAGATAAGTTCATGTCGGATTATGTTTGGATTTCATTAAAAATTACTCATTGTTTAGTTTAAACATAGGTATCCTGATATGATATAGGAGTACCTGATTAAAAAATCTGGTCACGAATAAATTTAAAATAAAGAAATAATTGAAGAAATAAGTAAATTAAAGACTAAAATGACAAAATAATTAAACTGTTTATAATTAAAAATCAAAATTATGTTGTTTTAAAATTCGATTTTTTTGAATTTTTAGAATTAATATAATCTAAACTTAAAAATCAACTCGTGGCTCAAATAATTTAAAATTAAAAAAAATAATTTTTATATGAGATCAACATGTATCTATTTCTTTTATGTATGTAACATATACATAAATAGACATGAAATGAGAGTAAAGTTTGCAAGTGCAAGTCATATATATTTTATAATAAAGAAAAAACAAGAGATTGAGGAAGAATTCATCAGGAGAGTCTATAATTCTGATTGTTTTCTTTCTCTTGAGCTCCGGATTGTTGCTGTCTCCTTATATACTTCCTTGTTGGTATTTTGTGGCCATTTTCATCTCTACTTGTTCATTTCTTTTCCTTTCTCTCTGGTTTTTGTCCTCTTGTTTCTTATTTTATTAATTTCTTCAAAGATTTTTAGAAAGAAAACCAGAGGGGATGCACAAAACATCCTCCCCCTCCTATGGCAACAACAACTCTTTAATTTTCTCTTTAATTATTAGTCGATTTCGATGATTTTTTCTGGGTTCTAGGTTTGCTGGTTTTGAAGTTGTTGGTTTTTGCCTATTGAAAATGGCCGCCGCTTCATCATCGGCAGCTCCACCTCAGTTGAAGAAGAAGAGAAATCAACCCGGAACACCAAGCAAGTGTCTCTTAACAATATATACATCTGTTTCTGTTTTTCTTTTTTCTGATTAATAAAACTGAAGATAATTCAACGAACCCTAATAATCCAGGGTTTATCCTTAATTTATTGTCTTCTTCACCCGATTTTTGTTCTTGGGTTTTACAGATCCAGATGTGGAAGTGATAGCACTGTCTCCCAAGTCTTTGATGGCAACAAACAGATTCATTTGTGAAGTGTGCAACAAAGGGTTCCAAAGGGAGCAAAATCTGCAGCTCCATAGGAGAGGACACAATCTGCCATGGAAGCTGAAGCAGAAGACGAATAAAGAAGTGAAGAAGAAGGTCTATCTTTGCCCCGAACCCACTTGCGTCCACCACGAGCCGGCGAGGGCACTCGGCGACCTCACCGGCATAAAGAAGCATTACTCGAGAAAGCACGGCGAGAAGAAATGGAAGTGCGACAAGTGCTCGAAGCGGTACGCCGTGCAATCTGACTGGAAAGCTCATTCGAAGACTTGCGGGACTAGGGAATATAGATGCGACTGTGGCACCCTTTTCTCAAGGTAAAATCTTCAATCATTTACATAATCATTTAGGTTATCAAAGTTGACAAACCATGTTAAAAAAAAGGTGATTGGTAAAGATTTTGGGACTGGGAGTTTGGCAGTGATAAAGCCTGTTCTTTTGTTTCACCTTTTTGGATTACTTTATCTATTTTACATTAAATACCTCTCTCTTCTTCTCCTCCTCCATCTTCATCATCTTCTTCTTCTCCACTTTAAAAAAAAAAACTGGTTTTGCACGTGAACAATAATCTGCGAAACTGCCATGACTGATGAGGATTCTTTCTAGGCAACCAAACAAACAATTAGTAAAAATTTTCCCTTCTTTCTCCCTTGGTAACATCGCCTTACATCTTTCACATATTCACGTGTTGCTAATTCATACGCTGTCACCAAGTATATTGTTACTGGATTTGTTCTCATGTGGTGAGATTTTTTATTTTACTGCCACAGTTTTAAACGTTAGGGTTCTTGCCTGTGTGGGGCACTTGTGTTTGCTGAAAACTCATTGGTCTAAGCCTGAAACTGTTTTTGTCATTTGTTAATGGCTTTCATAGTTATGGAAAAATATTCTTTCTATGAAATAATGGAAAACTTTTTCAGGGTTTTCCTTTTCTGTGTGTTTTTTTCATTTACTGCTTCTCTGGGTATTTTCATCAAAAGGGAAATGATTCCAATACTTCATTTATTGAACACCTTCTCAAAATGGTAAAAATGATCAAACAATGGAAAGTTTTTTATTTTCAACTCCTTTGGGTGTGGGTTTTCATTAATGGAATTCTATTAACAATTTTCATTTTTTGTATGTTGCAGACGTGATAGTTTCATCACTCATCGGGCCTTTTGCGATGCGCTGGCTCAAGGAACCACCAATAACTTAGCCACAACGGGAACTCATCATCTCTTTGGAAGTAACCATCATCAAATGAGCTTAGGATTATCCCATCATGTGCAAGCTCAGCATCAAACATCGAGTAATATTTTGCGGTTGGGAGGCGGCGGAGCCTCCAATTTCGAGCACTTCATCGGCTCCCCGTCGAATCCTTCTTCGTTGCAAAACATGCCCGTATCGGCGTTCTTCATGGCAGATGCAGCGAACCAAGGTTTTCATCAAGATCATCAATCTCACCATGGGAATGGACCTTACATGAACAAACCATTTCATGGTCTAATGCAACTTCCGGACCTTCAAGGCAATACTAACAATCCGGGGGCCAATCTTTTCAATTTAGGCTTCTTCCCCAACAATGATGGCTCGGGTGAAAACGGCAGCGCGTCGGCCGCCAACTTATCGAATTCCGGGTTTTTAAGCGGTAACCAGTTTAACATGGGTGGTCAGGTTGGTTCCGGGCTGTCGTCTCTTTACAGCACTAGTTCAATGCAACATGAGAACATTTCTCCAAACATGTCGGCAACCGCATTGCTTCAAAAAGCTGCTCAAATGGGTTCGACTACAAGCAACAACACTTCCTCATTGCTAAGGGGAATAGGGAGTTCTTCGTCGAGCGGGGTGAAATCCGATAGACAAGTTTTCGCCGCTAACTTCGGCGGCGGTGAAGGAGGAGAAACGGTGAGATCACAGATGGATAACGACAACAACAATCTTCAAGGACTACTGAACTCTCTTGCCAAGGGAAACTCCTCCATTTTCGGTGCCGGTCATGGACAAGATCAAAGCAGCTTCGTCGGAGAATTCACCGGAAGCGGGATGCAAGTCGATCGTCATGTCAACAACACCAACTTCTCCAACGTTAATGAAGCTAATAAGTTCGCGGCAAGCATCGGCGGCACTGACAAATTAACATTGGATTTTCTGGGTGTAGGAGAAATCGTGAGAAACATCAGCGGCGCCGCCGGTCAACATGGGATCAATATCGGCTCTTTGAACCCAGACATGAAGTCATCATCGGCTCAGCAATTTGGTGGTGCAAAGCTTGTCTACGAGGGCAAGTAAAGCTTTTGTAGGGGTAATAAGTAGCGGGAAAAACGATAAGCTTATGGTCTATTTCTTCTCTGGATTGAACTTCATGAATTAGGGTTTCCATTTCTAAAACTAAAAGTGTTTAAAGGGTTAATTTGGCTGATTTTTGCCATGAAACAAATATGGTAAGAATTTCGGACAACTTTTTAACCCGGACGTCAAAACTATCTTCTTTACTTTACGTAATTGGAAACTGTAAATTTCTCCCATTCCAATGCTATCATTTTGAAGGTAGTACGTAATCATTTGATTACTTGAAAATTTCGAGCTCTTTTCATTTTTGTCCCTGAAATTTAGAATGACTTTCATTACAACTATTCTTGTTTTGCGGAAAATAAATTATGATAAAATATTATCATTTTTAATATTTATTTTAAAAGAAAATTATTCAATGGAATTTAACATGGTAAATCAACGATAATATTATTACTTTTCTGGAAGTTGTCTTATGTAATTCAAAAGCTTGATATAATCAATTTTAACAAAATTAAGGATGATTCTATTGCGTTCGACGAGTACTGGTTAATACTATTGGCGATGAGTACCATTAATTTAATTTATAAAATTTTAAAATATAAATTTAAACTTATATTATTCAAAATAAAATATTAATTACATTATTTTTATAATCTTATTTTAAATAATAATTAGATAAAATATTAACCCTAAATTAAAAAATAATATTTTTTTTGTTTTGAAGCCACCACCGTTGTTGTTGTTATCACCATCATCGTCATCGCCATCAATGTTGTTGTCATTGTTTTCATTGCCGTTATCGTCATTGTCACTGTTGTCGTTGTTGTTATCACCCCCGCCACCATCACTGTTGTTGTTGCTGTCGTTGCTGCTATCATCATTGTCACTATTGTCGTCGTTGCTGCTGTCGCTTCTGCCACTTCAAAAAAAGAAAAAAAATATGGTTTTTAAATTTAGGGGTTAATATTTGATATAATTATTATTTAAAATAAGATTATAAAAACAATGCAATTAATATTTTGTTTTAAATAATTTATGTTTAGAGTTTTAATTAATTTATAATTACACATTGAGTACTTTATAATTTTAAAGTTTTATAAATTAAATTAATGTTGATTATTGTTAGTAATACTCATCGATACTCATTGAGATACGTAAAATTTTCCTCAAAGTATATACATTTAATTTTGGTTCATTTATTTTTTTTAACAGCATTATATGTTTTTCTAATGAAAAAAAAATGACAAAATAATGACATTTGAATGTAGTAACAAATCTAAAATAATAAAATATTCTTAACCTATATTTTTTATTATCTTAAATTTAATTTTAAGTAAAAATTATAAAATCGTTAAAAAAAAGTTAAGAATAGGTCAACATATCAGCGAGGACATCAAGAATCTCAACATGCTTACTACATTCCAGCAGAGTGGACAAGTGAATAATTATTTTCTTTTCTTTTAACTATTTTTTAAAAATTTATATTAATAAACTCCATCAATTATTCGATGCAGGTGATTATTATCTTAATATATTCATATAATATAATGTCAGAGAATTTATTTGGCCACCTAATACCTGACCCCAGTACATTTGAAATTAATTAATTAAGACTAAAAAATAATTATTTGCTGAACTTCAGGTCTAATGTTGACATTCTTTAGACATTTTCTCCCCTATTTTCTCCCTTTTGCTAGTTTAATTCTACTAAAATAAAAATGCATTATGCTGACTTGATGAGTTGATTATATTTGACCATGCCACATTGAATCAGTCAAAAAAGTTACATAAAAATCAAAGATTACGCACACATGTACATAAACTTATGAATTATGATTATCATACAATATCAACCAAACGTCATCTTAATTTATCAGTTTTAGTCTATATTAATATTTAAAGTTTTATTTTTAAAATATATTACTTAACGTTTAATTTTTAAAATATATTACTTATCGCTTAATTTTTATTTTATATTAGTTTCTTGTTGTTAACAAATTAACGCGTTAGTACTTGAGCTATAAGTTTTGGTCTGTTTTAGTACATAAATTTTCAATTTTTTTAAAAGTTAACGATAAATTTTTAACGGAGTACTAAAATGAAACAAAAATGAAAGTTTTTAACGGTCGGTATTAAAATGAAACAAAATTAAACTTCATGTATGATTTTAAAAAATTAAAAAATTATATATTAAAACAGACAAAAACTGATAGGTTAAGTGTTAAATAGGTAATTTATCCTATATAATAATAGGGTTGGGTTCAGACAGCAGCAGTGAAAGCATCAGGAATTGTTCACCATAGGAATTATTGGGAAAGTGTAGGATAATGTGGCATTTTTGTCGCAATTGGTGTCTCCATTTTCACTTTACGGAATCAATTAGTCCGTGACTCACAATACTCATTTTACAAAATATTTGATTATTGTTCTCTCACTTCACTTCTATAGACTTAGATCATTTTATTATTTAAAATAACACGATTCATCGAGTCACTTATCGTAATATTTAACGAGTCATTTGTTCTTAACATTTAACAGAATTGACGTGACAATTAATAAAAGTAGTATAGTTATATATTTGATCATTTTATTTATATATTTTCTTAATCTAGTCTTGATTTTAATTTAATGATATATGTCATCGGATTAGTTGAAAATAAATTAAAGAATAAAGATGTTTATGAGAATTAGACTTGGGTTTTTCGAGGGAATTATGCACGACCTAACCACTAGGTCAAATCATATATTTGTTATATAAATTACAATATTTTGTATATATCTTTTTATTATAGTTAATGCCAAAAAAATAAAATAAGATTTAAACTTGGACTAATTAGAGAGTATGAGAGCACCTATACCATTAAAACAAAATTTAATAATTTATATATAATTAGACACATTATATATATTTAAACTATAGTTAATGCAATATTAAAAAACTGAGTTTAAAATTCTTATACTTTTAAACTAAATTTAATAATTTTACCCCAAAAAATTATTTATAAAATAACTTCAATCTATATTTTTTTTTTATAAATTCTAAATATAATTCTAATTCTACTTAAAGGGGAGGGGAAGAGGAAACTCTAGAGTAAAGAAGCAGAGTTATAATAAAGATGAATAATTTGACCAATCAACCAAATATCTCAATTTTACTTGTGAAATCAGATAAGGTTATAAACACAATATATTCACATATAATATAGAATTTATCCATAACAATTTTGAATTTATTTTTTGTGACATGTCACTAATATTTTTATTCCCCTATGGAATATTTACAACTACAAGAGGACATGCATGGTGCCCTTGAAATTGTACAAGGTAGGACCCTTTAAAATATAAAGAATCCCATGCATTAAGGATTTGGTCACCTTATACAGTTATAGAGGTCACATGTTATTTAATAGGAAAACTTTATACCATACACTTGTTGCATATTTTGCCTGTGCCTTCTCAGTCACGTGTGTGAGAATTATATCGGAATCAAATACCACCAAACCACAAAATAAACTTAATTTTCTACAAGAGTTTATGTTATTATTTCAAAATATTATTTTATATGTTGTCACGAAATACCATTATATATGTTAATTAATATTCTTTTATATGTTAGTTAGGATGCCCCCTGACGCAGAAAAGAAACGGCATTCGATCCTTATTCTTCAATGGCGGCTGCCTAACCATACAACTAATGTAATAAAAAGTAGTTGAAAATGTAAAAAGAGAATGTTCTTTGGGGGCTAAGGTCACAATCTAAAGTAGGGGGGAAAAAGATTGTAGCAAGGGACTGATTGGAAACTTACATTAACAGTTGAAGAGATACAAGGAAATGTCTCATATAACATCCAGCTTGGGTTTAGGGGTTCATTAGCTGCATTTTTTTCGATCGATGATCGGAAACCTGATTCCTGATTTCGTTCGGCCTCCGATTTTTCCTAAGTCGTTTACTTGAAAGGCTTTGCCATCGAGCAATTATCTAGCATGAAAATGCGAAGATGATAATTAATATCACGATAACAAGATATCACTAAGTTTATCTAATAGATTGAGAATCTATTGAGTGACCTCGATCGTAAGAGGAAATGTTCTCTATGTGATATTGGTTTAAGTAGTTGTTGCAAGACAGTAATTAACACACAAAATTTTGGTATATGCAAATAAAATTTATGGACGAACACAATCAATAAAATATATAACTAATCGAAAGAAATTCAAATTTCAACGTGAACACATGTCTATCCCGAATTCCATATGCATCCGTCACTGCAATAAAGTTGTGTATATTATTACCTAAAATAAATTATAAATAAAGGGATAGATTCAATTACACCTAATGTAAAACTTTTAGAATCGTTGGATGAGAGAAAATAAAAGTTCGAGCGAAATAAAAAGATATTAATAAGACAAGGAGGGAATGATAAGTGATGCATGGCGAAATAAGAAAAGATAGATATTTTGCTTAGGGGATGTAGATTCTTGAGGGCAATACTCGTGACATTGTCAGCTCATGAAATTTTTCTTTACAAAAATCGAAATAAAAAGACAAATAAAGAGAAATAAAAAGAAACAGACAAGAAAAGAAACAAAACACATATGTACTATACAACTCACGACTGACCTCTGCAGGACAATGTGTCGGAGAATTCAAAGGAGCACGAGAAAGATATTTTTTTTAAAGTTAAATTAAAAGCATATTTACTGATGAGATTAAAAAGTAAAACTTTTTAAAAACCATATTTTTAGATTAGATTACGTACCTGTGTACTTTCTTCGTATACTTTCTCCTTTTTTGCGTTTTTGGATTTCTTTCATCACTGGAAATTCCCACGTCCTATTAAAGAACGGTGGCTTGTCGGCGCCGTAATATTCGTGTTTCTATCTGAACTCAAGCTGCTCAATCCGATCCTTGTTGTTGTTGTTGTTGTTGTGTGGCTCCTCCGGTCATGGTTCGAACAATATGCCCGACTCCGAGGAAGTCCCGAGTCAATCTGTCTGACCCACCGCCGCTAACATGCAAACTTTGCTGGTGCGGCGGTGGCTTTTCACGTTCCATGCTAGTTCTGTTTGCATAAGTGTTAAATGTGTTGACTCCACCGGAGCTTCCGAAAATGGGGGAATTACCACTGGCTATGGAGTTCATTAGTTCCTGTAGATTG